CAGCCCAGTGATTCCGGCCATGAAAGCCTTCGACAATACAGAAAGGACTGTGTTTTCCGATGGTCTTCGGTGACCCCTCTGACACCCCCTCGTGACACCCCCCCCCCCAGGGGTCCCAACCCCCAGGTTAAGAAACACTGCCTTAGAGAGAGTTCGATGCATGTAAAATGGCCCATCTACTTCACCTTGCAAAAGATGACATCTTTCTTCATTGCCATAATTTCTTGAGTCTGGAGGCTATGTTTCTACATATGTTGGTGGGTGAGAAGGACCCCTATGGACCAGCATATTGTTGTTCTACAATTTTTGATTCTAACATATTACCGAAAGAGCTCACTGCATGCAGGATCCATTCCCAACATCTGGTTTAATGTACTTTATCCCACACTATGCGTTTGGAAAATATGCTGCGGTTGAAGACATCTGGTAAAGTTCTAAAGAAAAACACTCCACGAACAGCGCAATACTCTTTGTTACTCATGTCGCTCACTCAAGAGCGAAGAAGGAATTAGTTTATCTTTGCAGTTAAGAGATATTTATTTCAGTTTCCTGCATAGCAATAAGGTAAAAGGGATCTCCACACTGTCTAAATAGTTTACTAAGCAGTGAGCTGATTGCTTGTAGTAGCAAGATCTCAGACTGTATTCTTTGCCACTCTAAATATTCACTAGCATTATTTTCAGATTGAGACATGAGTGTTCTGTGCATGTGGTCCTACAAAATGGCAATTTTAATATTTTGAGGGAAATCAGCTGATGACCATGTACACAGATCAAAAGAAGCTGAATATCAGCATGAATGTAAGTCCAACATAATTACCTTGTTTTGCTTTCAATCACGATTTAGCAAATGTAATGTCGATGTATCACATGTTATCAAGAAACCACACTCTCCTATAATGGAAACAGTCTCTAAGGGCTTCCACTACAAAGTAATGACTATTTCTTTAAATATGAGATGTCATTTTTTAAAATGAGGTTCTGTAGAAAGCCCAGATGTGCCTGGGGAAAGTGTTACAACAATAATAATAATAATAATAATAATAATAATAATAATAATAATAATCTTTATTTATACCCCGCCACCATCTCCCCAACGGGGACTCGGGGCGGCTTACATGAGGCCAAGCCCGGACAACATATTACAGCAAGATAAAACCAAAACATAAGCAACAAGCAACAGCATTAAAATTACATTAAAAAGAAAAAAAAACATGAATACAGTAACAAAAAGAAGAGAAGGACAGGCGGAGAGATCTTCAGCCTTTTCTGCCAAAGGGGTTCCTAAGACCACCAGAAATATATGTTTTCTGATGGTCTTTGGCCCTTGCAAACTCCCCCTCCCCCCGGGTCCCGACCCCCAGGCTGAGAACCACTGCTCTAAAATTTAAGAGCAAAGAAACAGGTCCAACCCTATACAAATGGTGTACCAGGCCATATGTCTGAAAGGAAAAGCATAACACAAGGACAAAAGACAGGATCTTCAAGATGAGAAGTGGCCACTCAATGATTGGAACATGTTTCAGTTACAACAGAAAAAGAACTGGAATAACACAGCAGAAAAGTCCCCTGAAACGATTTAAGGCAAACATTCAATTCAGGCAACAAAAACTCAATTGAACGAGTCTCTGACCTATTTGCCTGAGACAAGCTGTCAAGCTTAGGAAATGCAATGCAAGTCTCTTTTTGAGCAGCTGCAACTGGAAATGGGAATATAACTCAGCCATAATCATTCGCACAGAGAAGTAATATATCTTCTATACACATAATAAAAGTGAAAATATGTGTGTGTGTGGGGGGGGGGGGGCTGGGGTGTCCACTTCCACAAATAGCTATAACTCCCACTACTCAGGAGACACCAAAGGCCCTCCCTCCAAGGTTATAGTGAGCACCTTGAACCTGTCCAAGAGCCATGCCAATGTCCTCCACAAACTCTGCCCACCACCCAAGTGAAGGCTTTCATTCAGGGACAATTTCATCCTAGATTCTATGTGTTTCCTCCACCACAGGCATCCCAGTGTTTCTGACCCTCTCCATTGGTGTGGAATTTGCATGACCCTGCCCACTGCCTCTCCCATAACCCTATTCTTTTCTATAGTACACAACTAACAGAGAAATTGATCAGCAACTGAACATACGAGAGAGGCTGGGGGAGAATTCACCATAATTTATAGGAGTTGTAGGACTGGGATGTATAGTACATCTGCAATCTAAGAGCACTCTGAACTCCACCAAAGATGAATCTGGACCTAACTTGGCACGCAGAACCCTCCATGACCAACACATAAATACTGGAGGTCTTTGGAGGGATTTATAGGAGTTGTAGTTCACTTACATCCAGAACGCACTATGATCCCAAACACTGATGGATCTGGATCAAATATGGCATGCATACCCGATACGCCCAAATTTAAATATTGGTGGGTTTTGAGGGAAATTGGCCTGGACATTTTGGAGTTGTAGGTACTGAGATTTATAGTTCACCAGCAATCAATGAACACTCTGAACTCCACCAAAGATAGAACTGGACCAAACTTGGCACACAGAGGCCCCCATGACCACCAAAAAATGCTTGAGGTATTTGGGGGAAATTCACCTTGATTTTGGGGAGATGTAGCTCACCTACATCCATAGTGTACTATGAAACCAAACACTGATGGATCTGGAGCAAACTTGGCACACATACCTGATATGCCAAAATTTGATTACTGGAGGGGTTTGGTGGAACAGACCTTCCTTTTTGGGAGTTGTAGTCCACCCACAACCAGAGAAACTCCGCCGATAATGGACCTAGACCAAGCTTAGCACACAGAACTCAACTTACTGGAGGGGTCTGAGGGGACTGACTCACCATAGTGGGAATTGTAGCTTACTCTACAGCCAGAGAGCACACTCAATCTCACCACTGATGCATCTAGAGCAAACGTGCCCAACAAACTTCAACCACTGATGGAATTTCAGGGGATTATCCTGACATAATGTGAGTTGTAGTTCACTCACAACCTTATGCATTTAGTACAATTAAACTCACTTTTTCATAATAACCTGGGCAACACCAGGGACCCAAGCATGTACATATATAAAAAGGGAAGGCAGATAGATAGAAGTCAGCAGGCAAAAATATACATGCTCCCAAGTTTGGGTTGCCCCAGTGATTAACTACATCCATAGTGACAATTTGTAATTCTGAATGACACAAAAACAACAGAGAGATCAGTAGAAGACTCATCCTTGTAGGTTAATGTAATGAGTGCTGTTATTCTTGGCAGTTAATCAGAAGCAAGGAGTGCAAGTGCAACTCAAATCAGTGCAAAATAGATGTTGCTGTTATTGTTGATATCATCATCAATGGACATAAATTATAGAAAAAACCCTTAATTTCTTTCATTGCACCTGGTATAGGGATTAATTAAGATAATAAGAAATGTATGTCCTCTATGAACTACTGCTAGACTGAGCATGTCGTTCAGATCAAGAGCAACAATAGACTGAAAAGAGTACTTCTAAATCAGGCATGGGTAACTTTGGGCAGCCCTCCAGGTGTGTTGGACTTCAACTCCCACAATTCCTAACAGTCGGCTGAATTGTGGGAGTTGAATTCCAAAACACCTGGAGGGCCAAAGTTTTCCCGTGCTTCTTTTAAATTAATAATGGCCTTTTTAAAATCAAAAACGAATCCACTGACATATGTTATGTATTCTTACAAATAAGGTTCTCTGACTATGTTCCAAAACTTCTCAATGCAACATCATAGGTTCTCCTTCAGTAATGGTAATATTGGATTGTCCCATCCAGAGTAAACAGGACCAAATGAACTAAAGGGTTTTTAGTCAATGGTACAAGCTTTAAAAAAAAGCTTTGTTGTATGAACACACAGATATCTAGACCAGAATTCTTTTAGGAAACCATTATAATGGCCTAAAGCATGAAGCTATCATAAATTCTACCTTATTGTCTAGCACCCAACCACTTTTCTTTCAAACATCTTTATCTATACACCTAGTGAAAAATGCCTCCCGCATCCACAAACAGGCTATAGTTCAAGTGATGAGAAGCCTCCAAACGCATTCCTTCCACTGACATTGCACGTTAGAGCGAGCACCATGAACATGTAGCCCAAACCTTGTGAATGTCCTCCCCAAATACTACGGCCCACCACCCAAGGAATGCTTTCATTCTGGGAGAATTTCATCCTAGATTTGACGTGTTTCCTCCACCACAGGCAAGCATCCCAGGGTTCCTTGTGTGGAATTTGCATGACCTCACCCACTGACTCTCCCTTAACCCTTTCCTATCTTTTCCTATAGCACACAGCAAACAGAGAGGAATCAATCAGCAACTGAACAGACTGGAGGGATTTGGGGGACTGACTCAACAGGATGGAAGTTGTAGTTCAAGGCACAGCACTGTGACCCCCTTTGATAACGGACCTGGACCACTTGGCTCACAGACCCAAGATGAACAACTGTAAATAATGGCATGGTTTGGTGGTGAATGCCTTTGCCATATGGGAGTTGTAGTTCACCCTTATCGAGAAAAAGCACTGAATCTGGACCAAACTTGGCATACAGATACAACATGGCCAGCTGTGCATACAAGCCTGTTTTGGGGAGGATTGACCCATGATTCCGGGAATTGTAGTTCACCCACATCATTGTATTTTTTTTCTAATGGGAACATTCATAAAAAAACCAAATCAAATATAGTTTTTTTTTAAAAAAAAATAGTGTTACTAATTAACTAAATGATATTACCTAACAACCCAAACTAAGCAATGCCTTTTTCAATTAACCCAGGCATCGCCGGGTACCCAAGCTATTAGCCTATAAGGATGAGTTTCCTTTCTGCAGAAGTCCTACATAAACTTCTGAACACCAACTATTTTTCGAAGTGTGTGTAAGTCTAGGATCTATTTTAAATTATTTTAAAAACAGACGCCAATATTTTTTCTTCTTCTTTCTTTTTAAAAAAAGAAATATTAAGCAAAACCTGTAGATGTACCTTTGGAGTGTTTCCCTGAAGGCCTCTTGGGTAATGACTCCTCAATGGAATGTGCTGATGTATGTAGTGCATTTTCTAAACTATTACCAATGCTGTTTACGGGGGTCTCAGATCTTGGCGTGACCTAGGGAGAGAGAAAAACCACAAGACACAAACTAGTCAGATTCATTCATTCAAGCCAAGCATATTCTAAAGTGTAATCCTGGTTTATTTGAAAGCAGTTTTCCTGTTTACAAGTTGCTTTGTAGGGTACAGACAATTCTCCTATACTCATAATAAGGATCAATGCAATACTGTACTTTTGAGGTATCCATATTAACAAAGAAAGAGTTTAGCTCACATGTAATTCTGATCCATGGTTCGGTACTATATGTGAACCAAGTAAATGGGTGTAAACTGCAGATTCTGCGTATTGAATCCTAATATGTTCATTAGGCATATACGATCCATAAAAATGGTTCTAAACTGTGTTCAAAACTAGGGTGCGCTGGTGCTTTGTTTCTAAAGTTTGGGGGTAAAAATTTTGGAACTCTAACAAAACTTATGAATCTTCGTAAGTACTTCGTTAACGGTGGAAACGATTGCACAATAGGGAAAACATCACTGGCAGTGGGTAAACATCAAGGCTTCTCTCTCCCTCATTTTTTGAGCTACCCTGACTAAACTTGCTACAGTGGTAGAACACATTTACCACTGTTGATACGCCAAATTTCAGAACATTTGATTTATCCACGGATTTCTGGCGAATTTTCAAATTTTTTAGAAAAAACATTTTTTTAAATAATAAAGAAAATTTGTTCCTGGTTTGTAAGTGTTATTTCCTGATTCATTGTGTGGTCTTTACTTTGAAAGTAGTTGTTCTACTCAAGAAACTTTGTTTGTGTGGCACAAACTGTGTTAAATTGGTGGAGACTCAACAAAGCAAAATGTCCTGCTATATACAGGCTGATGTTCCTTCCAAAAAGACAAAGTTGTTGCACTGTAATAAACTTTTGCCATGTTTTTTTTTAATGACAGAACTAATTAGGAAATGATATTTATAACCCAGGAACAGAAATCACAATACAGGAACTATCAAGGAACATCTAGACTGATCCCCTTCTTCCAGGCAGAAATGCACTATCCAAACTCTCCTGACATCCATTTGCTTCCCCTATTGAGTTGGAGGGCACCCCCCAAGACATATCCATATAGGGCTGGCATGGGCAAACTTTCTAACTTGGGGGCCGCATGCTAGCATTCCATGCTAGGAGGACTAACTTCCCAGTGATAGAAGGAAGGAAGGAAAGGAGAAAGGAAAGAGAAAAGAAAGGAAGGACGAAAGGGAGGAAGAGAAGTATGGAGGAGAAACAGGGAAGGAAGGAAAGTTAAAAAAAGGAAAGGAGAAGGAAGGAAGGAAGGAAGGAAGGAAGGAGGAGAGAGGAGGGCCTGAGAAAAGAGCCCAAGGAACCTGGGTTTACCCATATCTGATATAGGTCATTAATTCTTTTTACAGCGTACCACAGAGACTGGCTTAGAGCAAATCAATTATCCCCCCAAAAGCGACAACGATCCCCTTGAATATGACATGCAATTAACCACATAACTTCAACTTAGCACAGATTTACAATATTACATATTTTTAGTTCTCTTTGCAGATGTAACCATTTTATTTTATCAATAGCCATCCCCTGCCACACGTTGCTGTGGCCCAGTCTGTGTATATGTGTTTTGTGTGCGTGTATATATATATGTGTGTGTGTGTATTTGTGCATATGTGTAAATAGGTTGTTTCGCATGTGCATTGTAATGTATTTTTTAATTTTTGGCTTTTAAAGTCTTTTCTGCTGTGTTTTTCAGTTTTTTATGAGTGATGGTCACTTGTTGGCCTGATAGGTGTATTGTGTCCAAATTTTGCGTTAATTCGCCCAGTGGTTTTTGAGTTATGTTAATCCCACAAACGAACATTACATTTTTATTTATATAGATTGCCGACTCTAAACGGCTGGCTGGCTGCTCCTCACAGTGCCTTCTTCATGTCAATAGGGTCAAAGTAAAAATATTGGTTTTTTAAAGCAGTTCTCTTATGTTCTCTTGGCTTTGCAAAGTTGCTTAATGCTCACTTACTTTAGATCTGTTTGCAGATTCAATTGTTTTGCTTATTTTATTTAGACAAACTCTAAAGGGCAATTGCTGCAGCCAGCTATTTGGGTCCTTCAGCCGTTATTTGACTACTGAGCAGCTTTGCATTCTGGGTAATCTAGTTTACGGCAGGGCCTTTTGCAATCTGTACCATTGGAGGCCTGGCCTTCCCAAACTACAGTTAAGATGAGTATTATTAGCCACGCCCACAGCGCCTCCATTCTGGCAGCGCTGGCAAAGATTTTTTTTTTTGTCATGTCAGGAGTGACTTGAGAAACTGCAAGTCGCTTCTGGTGTGAGAGAATTGGCTGTCTGCAAGGACGTTGCCCAGGGGATGCCCGGATGATTTGATGTTTTTATCATCCTTGTGGGAGGCTTCTCTCATGTCGAAGATGGGACCAAAGGACTGAGATTCTAAAAGCAATTTAAGTTAGGCTTTACCAAAGTTGCTTAATAGTTAGTGAAAATTAAACTGACCTTAGGAGTATCTGAACGTTACAGAACATTTACAAAAAAATGGGTAAGTGATTCAAATTTGAAATCCCACTCCCATTTTTTCCCGCATGCCTCAGAACTCCCTTCATATGCATAAATTTAACTAATCAGATACGAGTTCCAATTAGATCTGCAACAAATGCACACTTCTAATGTTTACATTATAAAAAACATAAACAATAAATTTTCTATTTGTGCCAAATGCAAATGTACACTTTGTTTCTTCAAAAACTCGTCTTTTTTCTGGAATACACTAAATCTTGCCTATTCATAACAATCCCCAGTTCAACTTGGATGCTGACTCACCCTAATCAGATACACATATAAACAAAAAGCTCCAAGCAGTTCCAAGTATGCTATTTGAGATAGCCAATATGGTTCTAGTAGGGGTTTGAATTGTCTAGCAACATTGTTTTTGCTGAGTACCATATTCACTGATGCAGCTTATGACTCACATTCCCGAGGAGATGTAGAAGAACACTTGTTTACAAGAAGTCTGGGGAACCATTATCTGCAGGGTGAAGGGCATCATCCCTCTCGCTTGTCCACAGCCCTCAAGAACCAGATGTCTGTTTTGTAAGACGGGTAATGTCATCCCAGGCAATTCCCATTTTTTGAAATTACAGAACATATCTCCTGTCTAACACTTTCAATGTTTTTAAACACATCAGATGTTTTGTGGGATTGTGGTGCAGCTGGCTGAGTGTCAGCTGCATTAAGATCACTCTGACCAAAAGGTCATGAGTTCGAAGCCAACCCAGGTTGGAGTGGGTTTCCAACCAATTGTGTAGCCTGTTGTCGACCTTTGCAACCCGAAAGACAGTTGCATCTGTCAAGTAGGAAAATTAGGTACCACCTTAAAGTGTGGGGAGGCTAAATTAACTAATTGATGAGGCCATAAAGAAGACTCCAGCAAAGCATTCCAGCGGGGAAGCATGCGGGGAATGCGGAAGTACTTCATCAGCGTCGCAGATGGACGATAAAAGCGACAGCTCCCCTGGCGGCCAGAAAAAAGTTAAATAGCCTCTGTGTATGTCTGTATATGTTTGTATGTCAAAAATTGGCATTGAATGTTTGCCATATGTACACTGTAATCCGCCCTGAGTCCCCTGCGGGGTAAGAAAGGCGGAATATAAAAGCTGTAAGTAAATAATAATAATAATAATAATAATTTTGTATCACATCTTGTGGGATTACCTAGGATTACCTAGGTGCCGGAGCTTCCGGTAGCACAATGGGTTAAACACTTGTGCTGGCAGGACTGCTGACCAACAGGCCAGTGATTCAAATCCGCAGAGAGCTAGGATGAACTCCCTCTGTCAGCTCCAGCTCCCCATACGGGGACATGAGAGAAGCCTCCCACAAGGATGGTAAAACATCAAACATCTGGACAATTTCCCCTGGGCAGCATTCTTGCAGACAGCCAATTCTCTCACACCAGAAGCAACTTGCAATTTCTCAAGTCACTCCTGACAAGAAAAAAACAAACTAGATGACTACTTCTCCTGTTAGTGCAACCTGTTCACAGGTTCCCAATAAACTATGGCTTATCATCCACTTACACCCAAAACCAATGTACTCCCTGACATTTTTCGGATTACAGAGATCTTCCATTCACTTTCCATAAATAATACAATAATAATATTATTATAATACTTTATTTATAGACTGCCCTCTCTCCCTGAGGGGACTCAGGCAGTTTACGACACAAAAGGCAAACATTTAATGTCCAGACAAAAGAAAAAAATGTATTAATGATAGTGAACTTATTTTATAAAAATTGATGTCAAAATAAAAAACAAGATACAAATAATCACATAGAAACAGGTTACACTAATCACATACTCAACATTAAAATATCTAAAATGATAAAAACAATTTAAATAAATGGAAATTGGCTGATTATAGTTGTTCTTGAAGTGTACCCAAGAACAACTAGTCCTCCTCCTCCCCACATGCCAAAGTGCATCTTCAAGAGCTTTTTAAGGAGAGGAGGGTGGGAGCCTTTTTTATTTCTTTTGGGGAGGGAGTTCCAGAGATGGGGAGCGATCATAGGGAAGACCCCCTCTCTCGTTCCCACCAACCAAGTTTGTAATGGAGGTGGGACCGAGAGCAGGGCCTCCTCTGCTGACCGCAATGCATGAGATGGTCTATATAGTTCAGTGGTTCTCAACCTTCCAAATGCCACGACCCCTTAATTAGTCCCTCATGTTGTGGTGATCCCCAACCATAAAATTATTTTTGTAAATACTTCATAACTGTAATTTTGCTACTATTATGAATCGTAATGTAAATGTCTGATATGCAGGATGTATTTTCATTCACTGGATCAAATTTGGCACAAATTTGGATAGTGGTGGGGTTGGGAGGGATTGTGTTTGTCATTTGGGAGTTATGGTTGCTGGAATTTATAGTTCACCTACAATCAAAGAACATTCTGAACTCCACCAACAATGGAATTGAACCAAACTTGGCACACAGAACTCCCATGACCAACAGAAAATACTG